TCAGTGTGCCCCAGCCCCCAGGGAGGGCTTTCAGCCCATTCCCCGATGTTTTTTTTCCTTACATCCTCGAGGTTCTGTTGGATCAAGTGAGAAGTGGGGTGACAGACCGGCAGCGTGGGCACCATGTGCCTCCTGACTGAAGAGCCGAAAGACCTGCCGAGTGTCTCTGTACGACAGCAAACCCACTCTGAGTGGAAGCTGGGTTTTTCTGCAACTGTTTACACCTTGATTTTCTGCATTAAACATGACGCCTGTTTTCCCCTGAGGTTAAAAATGGGAGTATTTCCCCTCAGCTGGATCTTTGTGCTCAAACACAGATGATCCTCTGCTTTCTTGGCAGCTGCTGCATTTCTCTCGCACCCCGAGTCCCTGGCAGCAGAGATGGCAAGGTGTCACCTTTATTTCAATAATTACTTTAATTTTGCACAGGCTAGACCTGAGTGAGAGGTGAAAGTGATATCAAAGGTCTCTGTACACCATGAGGAATATAGTCTTTGCCTTTTGTGTCCCAAGTGCTTGATGGATAAAACATGCCAACATCCACGAAGCTCCCAGAGAGGCTGCAAAGTGGGATGTGCATAAGGCAGCAGCAAATCCTTTGGGTTTAAGGGGGATGTTTCCTTCAAAAATTAAAGATATCACTGGTGCATTGCCCTGCCACATTTGTTTTTCGCTTTCAAAGATTATTATTTGCAGCCAAGCCCCTGCCTCCTCTCTCTGCTGGACACTATTTCTCCCCTCCACAGGTAACTTGGCACAGCTTTTTCCTCTGAGTAAGACCCCTCTTCCAGAGCTTTGAAGATAAAAACAAAACGTGGTGGAAAAAAAATTCCTAGCCTGATAATACTGGAGCTGTCCCTGCATCAGGTTTAACAAAGCCTTCGTAATCTGTGATGAGAAGTTTTCAGGAGGTTGTTTAATAATTAGAAAAATGGTAGAGAGGGACAAGTGGGGCAAAATGTTGTCACTTCCTTTTGTATGATACAAGTGACCGAATATTGCAGATCTGCTAGACTGGGTAGGAGGTGCTGTATTTCGGAACCAGCTTTGGGTGTGTTGGTGCCAATTTAGCAAAGCACAGAAATCTCAGTGTCCCTCAGACTTGCAGCACAGATGTGTCAAGGAAGCAAAATTATCTACCAGAAACTTGGGATTTTGTCAACAGCTTTATTTCCAGGATGTTCTCAGGTTCAATTATTTGTGATGCTTCCCAGTGTAACAGTAAATGCTCAGGACCAGGGATTTTTTATTTTTTTTTCTTTTTCCATCTTTTAAGATGGACCCCATCTGAAAAATATGCATTGGAGGTAACAGTGTATCCCTGGGACAAAGTTGCTCCCCATTTGTGACAGCAAGGTCTGCGCTCTCCTGTATGCATTGTAGGAATCCTGCCCTGTCCTCAGCCTTGCTGCTGTGCTGAAGAAGATACTGGCTGCTGCTGGAGGGCAGGAGGTACTGGTAGGTGAGAAGAACAAATACAAAGCTGCCTAGAGAATTTTTTGTCACCTTTTTCTTCATGTTTGCAAATCTAGTAATTCCAATTATGTAAAATGTGTTTTCCTCCTTTTTTGCCCTCACGTTCTTAATGAGAAATAGTGACAGAGACGTGTCTTAAAGCCCCAGGGTTTGAGGTTTTAGATCATTTTGCACTCAAAACTATCTCCTGTTGTGATGGGGGATTTAGATCCTTCCTCCAAGGTGATCTGAAGTCATTTCACAGCACGTTCATTCCTCAGAGTAGGAAGCACTGGGTGCTGCAGGACTGGTGCCCAGTGTGCCAGCAGCAATGGGCACGGGACATCAGTGGGGGTGGCTGTCCTTGGCGGTTTGTACAGAAACAGGGCAAGGTGCTGGCGCCCAGGGGCAAGGCTGAGCAGGAATTTTCCTGCAGCTGCTTCAGCAAGCCACAGAGGGATGCGGGAGGGATTTCACAGCTTCTCTGAGAGCTGGCTGGCCCTGCGCACTCAGGAGCAGAGCAGAGCCGACCACGCAGTCTAAATCTGTGCAGTTAAAGCAGCTCTTTAATGTTCATGTGATGTTACATGCAGGTATTAGAAAACCAGTGACAAATCCACTTAATTAAAGCTAAAGCTTTGGCTCTTGGGGATCTTAGGCCACTAAGTGTATAATCCTTTGTATTTTAAAGGATTAAAGCATTACATGAGTTGTAGAAGTTAATCAAAAGCCTAGCAGTTGTAATTTTTCTCCGTTAAAATATACATATTTACATGTCCTGCTATAAAAAATACAGTACTTGCAAATAGTATAAACAGTCTGTCTGGAAGAAGTGAAGTTTATTTTTTAAAAAAGTTACTTAAAGCACAAGCCTTGTAAGACCAGGCTGTGCTCAACAGACCCTTCATGGTGAACTTGTAAATGTTTGTCAAAGTAATAAATTTCTGAGCCCTGCATTAGCATCTTCTTGCAAATCCGAGGCCATTGGAAGCATGCTCTCCACCTGGGCGTTTTGGCTGTAAAATAGCAACGAAGCAAACACAGATGCACATATTTCCACTGGATCTGTGTGCTAATTTAGGACAATTAATGGCGTCACCTACCATGGAGTTATAAGGGGGAAAATGCTGTCAAAAAGCAATATAAAAAAGTGGGTTTGCGCAGACAGACTGCAAGTCTGGTTGAGAAAGGGCTGTCTGCTATCCTGGAGCTGCCAGCACAGGGTGGACGGGCAGGGAAGTCATGGTGGGAGGGCAGGACTCAGCCTTCATCTGCGCAGGGCGAAGGGGAGGGAGGGTCTTACCAGACCATATCTCTCCACAGAGCTGGCTGGTTGCACATATACGTACCTGTATATGTGTGTTCATATAACTACATACAGGAACTGGGGGCTGACATGGCAGCTGCATGTGCCTAAGAGATCCTCTGAACTACAGCCCCAGGGGATGTTATTTTTCCTGTCCTGTTGAAATTTTCAAGATTTCAAACGTTTTATTTTCTTGCGCTGGGAATGAATGAACAAATGAAGCCTGCCGAAAGCTTGCCACTAAAAGAAGCAAGCCTCGGACGTGTGGCGTAGGAATGGCTCATGACAGTTTGCTCCCTGACCCCCCCTTTCTCACTTTGATTTCCCCAGTTGTAGAGCTGAGGAGATCAACTTTTGAAATGGGTTTTGAAATGGGCAGATGTTACAGCTACTCGGATGGAGAAATATCTTTTAAATAGTCACACAAGCTGTCTTGCGTTAGGAAACTACCTAAACACCACATAAGTGATCATATATTTTAGGAATTATCTTAGTATAACGCTGTCCATAATTATTAGTGTATAAAATCGGACTTTTAAGAGAATTTCTTTTTCCAGGGCTACAAGGCAACCCTGGATGAACAAAAACTTCACGGGAACTGCTCAAAGTCCCTGTTGGATGAAGATTTCATTACAAAATAGGCGGTGAAAAAAGTCATCCCACTCAGTTTCCAGGTAAATTCAGGCGCAGAGCACTTTCTGTGCAAACAGCCCTGACGAGCGCACAGGTTAAAGGCGGCTTTGCAGAATCCCTGTCTGGATACATCGCAGCTGTGTTAGGGCCAGACAAGGCCAGATGTGCTCCCATGCATGGCTGTTGTTGCATTCATTTTTTGGTGGTTTGTGCTTTGTGCACTTACATATGTGTATGTACAGGCACTGACTTAGCGCCTCTCCCTGTAGGGAGTCCAGGCAAGGTCTGATTACTTTAAGGCAAGCCACAACTGACTTTGCTATTTGACAAACAAGGATTATGGCTTGTCAGAGGAAGCAAGAAGAGATGTTTCAAGGGGGCCACTCCATCCTTCTCCTGGGCCAGTTGGGCAGGGAGGCACAAGGTTTGAAGAAGTCACCAGCTGTAAAATCTCCAGTGAATGCTGCATGTCTTGGCAGTCTCCAAATATCTGAAGGGCTTGAGATAATGTGAAGGATGTGCCCTTTCAAATTATTGCTGTTGGATATGGTAGAGATTCACGCATCCAAATATGCAGCTTGTTGCACAGACCAGTTCATCTGCCTGTGGGATTTCACATGCCAATGAGATCTAAGTTTAAAAAGAAAACATAAGGATTTCTTAACTTTATGCATTATGAAACATTAAAATTCTAATGTTTAACAGCAAAGGTCTGTTAGAAAAATAAACGTTAACCAAGTCCAAGTTTTACCTATGTTTAACATGTAAATATTAAGTTTCTGTGTCTCTTCAAAGTCTACATAATATCCCCAAGTACAAGTTACTTATTAACTGATTAAGATAAACCAAGTTTTCATTTGAAAATCTGGTCTTTCCAAAATGGAGGAGAGAATGTTGCTCGCATTGACGGTCTTTTCCTCACTTGTAGTATTAGCAGAAACTATTGGTCAAAAGGTATTTGCTCGGGTTTGTTTGTTTGTTTGTTTTTTTAAAACATCT